AACCCTAAACCCTAAACCCCAAACCCTAAACCACACTTCCTTCAGGTCTTGGCCAACCAAGACTGCAGGCCTTCGGCAGGAAATCCAAGGCTTCAGAGTGGGGCTCGAGGGTTTCCGTCGGGGCTCAGGGTTTAGAGTTTAGGGTTGAAGATTTAGGGTTTAGGGTTGAAGGCTTAAGGTTTCGGGTATTGGGTTTTGGGTTCAAGGTTTAGGGGTTTTGGGTTCAGGATTCAGGGATTAGGGTTTATGGCTTAGGGCTTCTTTTGTAAGACCCTTGGTGAGATTTTGTGCTTGCTTGGCGGAGTATGGTAATTCTCGCCACCTGAAACATGATGAGTGCTCCCACCTCAAAAAAAAACATATCCCAGGTATGGTAGAGGCGAGGTATTGGACTAATACTCATCGTTGGGGGTGGGGCTAGGAGGATTTTGTTTTGGTAACTGGCGCACCCGCTACGTGTTGTACTGCGTGGGCTTACCAAGGCATTTCGGAAGATTTTGATCCACCCCTGATATTTCCACCATATAAATGTCAATATACTAATTTCTAGAATCCATGTATGAGGAGCCCCCAAAAGAATTCCAAGATTTGTTGAAGCCTCAAGTTGTATGGCATCAAGATGCCAAGCAGTTTGCAGGCTACCAGGTGCTTGTTCTCCCGCTGAAGGCTGGTAAAAGTACTTAGTCGAGGACTGTGAGAGCTGTACACAACTTCTAACATGGAGGCTCATGCAATCCAGCTTCCTTGCAGAAGGACAGCACACCCTCTAGGGCTTCTTTCGTGCTTCCATGCCAGTTTGAGGGATGTACAGTTTTGTCCACCTTATATGAGCCATAGTCTAAACTCCGAGTATCCCCCTTAATAACCCTATAGTCGTCCTCTATATACTCCCGTATATGACCTCCTTCAAGGAATTTAGACTATATCTCATATGCCCCCAAGCATGGTAATAGTTATCATCAGAGTCCGATAGAGTCCCACATGATGCTTGTTCCGAAACGTTAAACCTTAAACTTCGGTCCCTGATTCCGCGCAAAGCACTAACGAGTTGAATAGGCTTTAGAAGCCTTAGGCTTCTACTTCCTGGAAGACACTCAGTGTTTGGGCCGGGTCGCGGCGACAGGGTGGATAGGATTGTGGAGAGGCCCTTCGGGAGTTATGAGCCGGCCTATACCCAACCCCCCGGACGGTGGTGCGTTCGATTTTCCAGCATTGTTGCAGCAGCCCATTCCTGTACTCAAGTTCAACTCGATCCTGCTAATCTCTTGCACTCCTCCCAGCAAAGTTGGAGCCTGGAGAAGCCCTGAAACGCCAAGCACCTGCCTTGAGACCTCTCAAGCAACACTACCTAAGTTTCCTACATCAAGCCCAGCACTTTCGACATTCCAAACAGCTGCAAACCATGAACCACATCAATCTGCAACGCTCCCACAATGCGCCTCCCCTAGGACACGGTACAGACGCAGGCCTTGGATGTGGTTTTGGATTTGCGTTCATGCCTTGGGGTCTGGCTTTAGCGGTGTAGGCTCAGAGTTTAAGATTTTAACGGGTCGGCCTTGGGAACTTAGGACGCTTAGGATTTGGGACCTACAGCTTTGCAGCTACACACGTCAAGTGCTCTATCATACCTACTGCCTGGCCTGGTGGCAAACAGCGTTCTGATTTCATCTGATTAAATCCTAGGGAATATGCTCTTCCTTAGCATACTTCCGCTGAAACAAACGTATGAATACAAAATACATCCTAGGCCCATACCCCCTCATTAAGAATTTACAGGAAAGCAGTTTGGCTTCCATGAGGTTCTCCTGGTGGAGGCCCTTGTTTGGTTTCGGGTATGGTAAACAGTTCCTGGACAGAAGGCCCAGCAGTCAGAAAAAGCAATGAGCGCATCCTTGCCCCCACCAAGTGGATACAACTCAGCGAAACACAGGGTTCCTAAAGTGCTCATTACACTGCAAACCATGAAAGCCAAACTGTAAAAAATAACACCGCTTAGATCCTAAACCTAACAAAGCAAATAAGAATGTAGAAGGATCCCAGGGAGTAGAACCCAGACCAAGCTTCCAAAAAATCGTTTCAGACCATAGGGTTTGGGGTTTAGAATTCGGTGGTTTAGGGTTTTAGGGTTCGGGTTTAAGATTTAGGGTGTTTTGGTTTGGAGTTTATAGGCCTTAGGGTTGAAAACCCAATGCCCTGAACCCTAAGCTAAACTCCAAGGTCTCAAACCCCACACAAGCTTCCAAAGCCTAAGCCTTGACGCTTAATGCCCAAGCTCCTAGACCTTGAGTGCCAAAAGCCCTAGAACCCCTACACTCCAAAATTGAAACGAACCCATGCAATTATCCCTAGAACCTATTTCAACAAAACCACCCAACCCTAAACCCCAAGCCCAACCTCGTCGTTTCGCGCGAGCGCGGCAAGGGCACTGCGATCCGCAGCGGTGAGTCGAAGGTTGGGCTCCGCCCTGTGGATTATATACTGTTTTTGGTTAGCCGGGAATAAAGGAATGGTAAAGAAAATGGAAACTACTATTTAGGGTTTAGGGTTTAGGTGAAGGACTGGAAAAGAAAATGGAAGCTACCATAATGGGTTATATCGGGACTACTATAACGATCCATCACTTCATTCCTAGCTAACCAAACACCAATATACGCAGCATATAAGCATGCTATGCGTGTATGTAGAAAATAGATACATACATATGTAGATGTATGTGGATATGTATGTGTGTATATATATGCAGAAAATTACAATATATCTATATATATATATGTAATCAGAGAGATATGAGGACAACAGTTGCACGGATTTGGAGATTTAGGATGTATAGGGCTTTGGTTGTATGGTTGTGGCCTCGGGCTTGAACCTATAAGGTTTAAGCATCGATGGTTTCAGGGCTTAGAAGATTACGGCATCGGGGTTTTGGGGGCTCAGGGATTAGAGCTCAAGGCGGCGACTACAATTGCAAATGCACGAATGTAACGATGGTGAAGGCCCTGAAGAGTCCCTCGTAGGACCATATCCAGACAAGATGAACCTTGTAAAGCCCCCAAATAAAGCTAAAATCCCTTACCCGAGGCTTGCTTGATGAACGCTACGCCCTGAACCGTAATCCCTAAACCCTGAGGCCTTATCCGTAAATTCTGGCCTCGAGACCAGGAAACCCGAAGCTACCGAATCTGCACCCTCCGCACATAAACCTTAAACCCTGACCCGAAAACCTAAACCCGACATGAACCTTTAAGCCTTCATCATAATTCAGGCCTCAATCCTACATAAGCCTGAAACCGTAGCACATTCATAACTCCGTCCTGTAATACGGCCACATCACATCCGCAGGATCTGCGCTGTGTTTCAGACCGAGGCCTCGAGGTTTGTGTTAAGGGTTTAAGGTTTAGGGCTTGAGGATTAAAGTCAAAAGTTTAGGGTTTAGGGGTGAAAGTCTACGGTTTAGGTGCTTTTGGGTGGAAGTTTAGGATTTGGGGATAAGGGGTTAAAGCTTTGGAAAAATGTGGGGATCTGTCTATGTAGAACGATGGAGGATCAGCTGGAACAGAAGCTGGAAAATGAAAGGAAAGCTGGCTTTCTACAAGGGCTACGTAGGGATTGTATGTAGGGGGCCTAAAAAGCTTGGAATAGGTCTTTGGGGTTAACCAGCCTGCAATTAGATCGGGCTTGTCAGGTAATCATGATAAATATTCAGCCTTCTACAGTCGGCTTTCGGGCATACAGTTTAGGGATCAAGGTTTCAGGGGTTTCGGGATTAGGGATTAGGGTTTAAGGTTTAGGGGTTTAGGGGGCTTAGGGGCTTAGGGTTTAAGGGTTTAGGGTTCAGGGCAGTTTTTGGGGACGTCCAATTCTTGACTCTATACCGAATGGTAGCTTAAATTAGATTCCTTACCAACAACCCGGAATACTGATTATAGCTTATACTTATATCACCTATAGGTATTTCCCACCATCAAACCAAAGTATCCCGTCCATCAACACCAACCCAACATGCCTAACTCCTATCCCCAAAGCTAAGGTCAAAACCCTTAACCCCCCAACCCTAAACCCCAAATCCTAAACCCTAAACCCTAAACCCCAACCCTTCGGCCCAGAAAGAGCAGCTGAGGCAGTGGCTCGCCAGAGAAGTCGCAGAGCACATCTGGCAGCCACAGCAGTCACATCGGCAGACGCTCGAGATTATCATGGGGGGAGTATGGGTTAAGGGTTTAGAGTCTAGGGTGTGGGGTTTAGAGGTTATATAGGGGTTAGATAGGGACACTGGATAAGAAAAGTGAAAGTACGATTTAGGGTTTGGGGGTTACCCGAAATTATGGATACCTTTTACGCGGTCCCAATTATGAGGATTATAGTACTTTGGGGTCTATATTGGGGTCGCCCCTATTTACGGAAACTATCAATGCCGCAGGGTTTGCTTGGAGCCCCCAATTACCTACAGTTTAGTAGACCCCCTAATGAGACCAGGTATGACACACAACACTGTTCTTAAGCGGGCTTACAGGTATCACGCAGCGATTTCTAGGCTGACCTTAAACCCTAAACCCCAAACCCTAAACCCTAAACCGCCCAAAGCCCGAATTAACGCAGAGAGCCATGTGTAGATTTCTTGCAAGGTGGGGATCAGGCGGCAGTTCGCGAATGTCCTTAACATGAGTAAGCATCTTAAGGCTTTAAAGGCATATGGGTAGTTCCCCAAATCAGGGTCCCATTTGGTACCCCTAGATATTAGGTGTTGTAATATAATATATACCCACAAGGGGCCAATAGTTCTGAGAACAACCTATATATGATTGTTGGAGGGATTGCAGGGTGGCATGGAGGGGTCGTGTAGGGTAGCCTCTCGGAGTAATAGAGCTTATCAAGTTTTTTTAGCTGTACGGGATTCTCCTCTTAAGGCAGCAATACGATCAAGTGATGTTGGCCCCGAGTTGCCTGGAAACCCAGGACAAGTGCAAGAGCTTAGGGAGAAGCTCTCTGCGACCAAGCTGTCCATGAAGGCACAGGAGGCAGAAAGGCATGCAGCAAGTTCGCGGCAGGCCGCCCGATCTAAGAGAGACCACCGAGTCCATGTCAGTCCTGCGCATGAGGCCAAGACTGGCTTCCGTGAAAGCCTTGCTGCGTCACCTTGCCATGAGAAGGTCACTTCCCCCTCCAATGACACGAAGCGATCCACGGCTGCATCGTCTTCCGAGCGGCCGCTGTCTCCGCGATACGAAGGGCAGCCAATGACAGAAGGTATTGCAGTGTGGCGAGAGACGCAAGCTCTGAAGGAAAGCCTTGGTGCTTCCAGCTCCAGAGCCCACCGCCCTTTGACGAGGGCGGCTGGGACGTCCAGCCCAAATCGGCAGCGCCCAGCCGTGCAGACTGATGGCCTGGAGCCGGTCACGCAGGTCCTGTCCCAGCAAATGCCGCCCTGGACCAGCACCTTTGGCTTCAACCTGGGTGCTCCAAACAGCCCTCAGTCGGCCTCCCAACTGCCTCCCTTCGCAGAAGCAGCAATGAGTCGACTGACATGGCTGCAGGCCGAGAAGGAGGCCCTGGAGGGATGGCTGAGTAATGCAGGCTACTTGTCTGTCAGCAAGGACAGCGATGACAGCCGGGGCCGAGTTTCCGAGGATGTGGCTTATGCCCAGGAACCTACTGCATCTTTGGCTGGGCACCATGTCTTCGAAGGGATGGAGATTCCTGGCAGGCTGCAGGAAGAACGGCCGCCAGAGAGAGTTGCTGAAGAGCCATGGAGCCACTTGCCGCCCCGCCTTTCTGATCCACGACCCAACGACCGGACTCGCCATGCTTACGCTACTGGGCACACGCCGGATTCATCTGTGGAGGAGGGCTCACCAAGCACGCCAGGCAGTGCAAGGAGAAAGTCGCTGGCGCATCAGTCGAGCTACAACGCTCTGGCCGCTGAGCGCGCTGCTGCTGGGTTGCTGTTAAGGAGCTTAAGTTAAGGTACCATCATTATATATATATATATAGGAATTGATATGGTTTCCCCAATATACTAATTCAAATTAAGTTCTCTAGATCCCAATATTCCCCCAGTTTCCATTTCATTTCCATGTTCTTTTCCATTTCATCTTCCATTTTCTTGTCCATTCTATGGGGGATAGCATAGTAACTTAAGCTAAAACCCTAAACCCCTAAACCCTAAACCCCAAACCCCTAAACCCTAAACCCCTAAACCCTAAACCCTAAGAGCCACCCAGGCTGCGCAGGCAAAGCTGGAAGACGACTTCAAGGCGATTGGCCTTGAGAGGTGGAGCGCTCCAGCCGAGAGCAAGGCGTCAGGCAACTAGCCCCAGTAGAGCGGTTTAGGGGTTAGGGTTTAGGGTTTAGGGTTTTAGGGTTTTAGGGTTTAGGGTTTAGGGGATTATACAGGGATAATGGAAAATAAAATGGAAACTGCTATATGTAAGGCTTTTCAGCAATATATACTTTAGGTGGACCCCCCTCCCAGCAATAGTGACTATAGGGAATAATAGGGATTAAATTAGGGTCCTCTTATATTCCTATTCTACCACTATTACAGGTGAGGGCTCGCTTAGGCTAAGGTTGTCTCTTGCATAGGGTGTATTCTGTAGAGGCTCCTTCAGACAGACTTGTGGGGGGGGGGGGTTAGTATCGGTGTATGACTGCAAAAAACATGATCCCAGGCTTCCTCCTTTAAGGTTTAGGCTTTAGGGTTTATTACGTAACTATTGCAAAAGACAATCCTCCAAAGAAATCCTTAGGTATCATTCAGCACACCATTCGAGGAACAAACTGTCCCAAAAAATCTAGGTACCCCACTAGTAGCCTTTTCCCCTCTTTATTTGGGGATGTCTTTATTACTGCTGAGCAAAAGGAAAAAGGATACCCTTATTCAGAGGTTACTGAGGACCCTAGCTAAAAAGCGTGAGGGTTTGGGTTCTGTGTAATACAGACTGGCGGTCTCTTTAAATCGTGGTCTGTTGTGGTGCATCTTATGGCGCGTTGGGACTTATGGGTGTCTGTATGAGCTATAGTCGGAACTCCTTGAAGGGGGGGGGTGATCTAGGGGATTATATGGGGGAGTATTACAGGGCTTACTAAGGGGGATACTAGGAGTCTAGACTACAGCTCATACGGGATTTCCATAATTTTTGGAGTCCGTTTTTGGGGATCATTTTCATAACGCATATAGTGTAACAGGGTCGACATTGCTATTTATGGGCACCTGAGATACAGTCAAAGTAAGAGTAGCATTGCAGCTCTAATTTTCGTGATCGTAGTTGTAGCGGTTAGTCAAAATGAATAGTGATGCGGCAGGTATGTAAGGAGCATTTTAGATTCGTTTTATTTTTCGTATACGATCTTTCTAACAGCAGTATTCCGCCAAACCCGTACTCTAAGAAATGTTTTGAGTAACTTTTGGGATGACGATGCTACTAACATAGACCCCTAATTAGTCAACCCCCACCCTAAACCCTGAACAGTAGTTTCCATTTTCTTTTCCATTATCCCCATATAATCCCTCCATAATCCATGTACTTCCCCCTATATAGCTATATTGTCCCTATATTACCCCCCCCCCCCATTAGCCCCCGCATGGCCACCCGAGGCAACCTGGCAACGACGTCGTTCGGGGCTCCCCGCAACAGCGCGCCAGCCAGCGCCCTTGCTGCACTCCGAGCGGCAGCACTGGCTCAGCCGCCACAGGTGATGCAGGGTTTGGGTGTTGTGGACCGTCGAAATATTGGGTGTAGATTTTCGGCCTCAGGCCGTAGGATTTAGGGATCCATACATGGGGCGGTATCTAGCGATTGTAGAGGGGATATGAAGGGTTGTAGCGAGACGGGTTAGCTAAAAGACATACCTACAGAAAAAATCCGTCTGAAATCTTTGCCGGCGGGTGGATGAACCGGTCCGCCTTGTTCAACTGTCAGAATGTCAAGAGATTCGGTTCATAGATTGGATATATTATGGAGATTCTGGAGGGTTAGCAAGGCCTTTGCGTCTATGCAGAGAACGCAGACGGTCAGCACTGGAAATACAATGCCCGCTATGACTATGTATGGGCTTTTTGGGGCAGCCGAAGTGGCATCCGCTTTCACGTAACCCCTTGGTGTCTGCAGGGCAAGTTGCAGAAGCTGCGAAAGGTTCTTGTCCGAGTAGTTCTGTAGACGGGGATATTATAGTCCGCAATTTAGAATGATGAGAATACATGTGCCTTTGTGCTTGTAGCGTCTTTCAAGGCGGACAGACCATTTCTTGGTTCAACCAGCAGCTAGTGCACCCCTCGTTGACCCCGTTGGCTGGGGCAGGCTGCGACAGAGGGTGCTGCGGACGGCTTTGCGTGTGCCCCAGCAATGGTTGCAAGTGGCATCACCTTAAACCCGATGCTGGAAGATTAGATTCTAACTAACCCTGATGCCTAAACCTTCAACCCAAAAAATTCTGTATTCATTCACATTTATTGCAGTCGATGCTGGAAACCTTCGACATGTGGACACGGTTTCTTTCTTTTTCAGATGTCCAGGGATGTCCAGGGAAAGGTGGTATCCCGAAACCCTAATCCCTAAACCCTATAATCCCTAACCTACTTGGAGCTTCTCCTCCCTTTGCAAGTACGGCAGATTGACCGGAACTTTAGTTATGCAGGTCTAGGCTTTGAGGGTTTGGGCTGGTATTCTGGAAGCCCTAAAGGGGGCCCTATCATAGGAGACTTTTTGGGACCTTAGCAAGCTTTAGGGAGGCCTTAGGGAGGTCTTAAAAAGGCTTAATTATGGGTCCCCCATATAAGAGGCCCCCTTAAGGATCCCATAATGGTATGACAGGGATATGGTACCGATGGTGGGTAAAGTCCGTCCTGAGCATGGGCCCCGCAGCCTGAGGCGCAGATGCCTGTGCAGGAGCCAAGGCGTGTTGCATGTGGAGTGCTTTGGGTTTAGAGCTTCGTGTTCGGAATTAGGGGTTTAGGATTTTTGGAGTTTAGGGCTTAGAGTTTGGAGTTTACAGCTTGGAGTTTTGGCTTTGCGGATATGGAGTAAGTTTAGGCTTTACGGGCTTAGGGGTTTAGGGTTTAGGATGTAGAGTGTCGAGGTTTTGGATTGAAGAGTTGAGGGTGTAGAGTCCAGGTTCTGAGTTTAGGGTTCTCGGGTTTAGTGTAGTGTCCGCTGAGCCTACTGTGGCAATAGGCCAGTGGTAAACCATCCGCGCCCAAGACTCCGAAGGTGTGTAATGTAGACCCATGATTAATAAACCCCCTCCTTTTAAGGGCCTGAATATTAGGCTCCCTGTTATAATCCCTATTAAGTGAGGGGGTTCATTAACCCCAAACCCTAAACAGCACATTTGTCACAAAGCAGCTCCACAGCTTCACAGAAATCTATTACCTTTAGGGTCCAAGTACCTAGGGTTTAGGGTTTAGGGTATAGTCATGTACTTACCCAAAACCTGCACCATAATTTCTATTACCCAAACCCAAGTAACTAGTTGTTGGGTACTTGGACCCTCTGGGCTAGTTACTGCCTCCATCCAGCAACAGTTCAATGGTAGCTATATTATAATGACCGCTAATATTAACGTATGTTACAGACTGCCGCTGGGTGGGGGCAGTGCCCAAATAGTCTCTGAGGTACTAGATCACAGAATCGACGTTTCTGAATCTCAGCGTGGAATTTTGCAGAGATAGCTTGTGTGCGTGTAAGTTGTGTA